CAATCAACACTTTTTCAAAGGCAATTTTTAACAAAATAAAAAAAATCAAGAAACAGCAATAATAACGTAAGTGGGAACGTTGGAACGTGATTAAAATAAAATAAATTTTAATTGTAAATAATTAATAAAATAATTAACAACTTCCACAAAATTATAAAATGGAAAAAAGAAACTCACAATCCCTCTACCAATCGTAAGCAGCTCTCTATTGATCACCACAGAGATCCTTCCCTTCCCTCCATTAGAATGTCTAACGCTCAACTTCTCGAGAGCAACTCTCTGCGGCTTCTCGTTGACTGCTGACCTGAGATGGAATAAATACATCGAGTCAATAGCCTCGTCCACTGCAAGGAAAGTTGGCTCCCTGAGCCACGCCAGGAATTTTTTTTCTCCCTGAGTTGATCCTCCAGATCTACAAATCCACAATTCGCCCTTGCAAGGAGTATTGCTGCCATATGGTCTGGTGCCCCTTCTGTTTGCCTCAGGGTTCTTGATAGGCTCCAGAGGCGGATATGCAATGGTTGGCCCTGCTCTGGCGTCTCGTCTACAGTCACTTTCTCACAGACGCGCCGTCGCCTCCCTCTGTCTGTTCTACAAATACTTTCATGGAAATTGCTCCAAGGAGCTGCATTCGCTGGTTCCCAGACGTCATGAGTTCAAGCGCCATACGAAGCTGGCATCCCGCTCTCACCACTTCACTGTTGAAACCCCTAAATGTAGCAGTCTCTTCTACTCCAATAGCTTCATGTCTCGCACCTCTCACCTGTGGAACTCATTTCCCTATTCCTGTTTCCCTGTGTGCTCTAGTCTCCAGCTGTTCAAGTGTAATGTCAATCGACATCTCTAGTTGCCTTGATCTATCCACTACCCTCATCCTTTCTTCTATCACTCCTATCTTGATCTCGCTCTATATTTTCTGTAACTCCTTGCGTCCTAGTGGCTTCCCGCCTTGCTTGGGGAAATGCTTAAAAAAAATGTTCCTTTTTTCTGCATAGGCATGGCTGGTGAAATTTTATATACAAAGTCTCAAGAACTCGGATATGGCGAGCATTCTGTAGAACTGAAAATATGGTCTCCTTATTTGTCCAGCAAATGCTGTTCAATCGATGACTGGATTGTTTGAGTAGTTCTTAAAGACTGGCTTCGACTACTTGAACGCAAATAGGCGGGAACATGTTGCGAAATCAGCGTCTCTAACCTCAGATTGATACGTCCTATGTACGCCGCTTGATATCGGCATTTCAATTTGGGAACAAGTCAATTTTTCTGAAAATAAGAAATCAATCCTTACTAACGGAAGGAAACGCCGATTTTGTTTGAAACATTGTACGCAACTAAACAGCATTTTAACATGAAACGATATAAGGTGAAATTCTGTCAGGCAAAAGCTGATCCTTCCTGCCAACCCAAGGTAACTTTAAATAGATAAGGCACCGACTAGATCTCAAAACAACTGGTTCCTTAAAACGATTGATCTACTATCTATAACACGTTTGTTGATTTTGGTGGGATAGACATTACTTTTAAAGATTTTCTGAATGCTAGCAAGTTCTTCATTTAACAAATTAAGAGAACAGATCATCAAAGCGCGATGAGCCAGGGTCGAAATTAAACCGATTTTCCGGACCTTGGAGACAGAATAATTCCAACTGTATAAGTCTGTGAATGTGGGTCTACGGAAGACGCTGGTATAGAATATCCCATTCTTACACTCAACATGATCATCCAAATAGGGTAATGTCCCATCACTCTCAATCTCCATAGTAAACTGAAGGGATGGATGGAGAAAATTGAGTTCCGTGAAGAAATTAATAGCATCACTGGCGGAATCATTATAGCCTGCGATAATATTAGCCTAAATAGGGCCCAAAGTACTGCCCATAGCAGCACCATCAGTCTGGACATACATCATCTCATTAAAACTAAATTCAGTTCCTTCGCTAGCCAGACGCATACATTCTATAAACAGATTTTCATGAATGCTGACCGGACCCAAATTACCTCTCTAGGGAATATCAGCACATATGCTGATGGTCTAATGAAGAGGAACATTAATGTACAAACTGACGATGTCAAAAGACACCATCAGTTTATTTTCAGGGTCAATCACAAAATTTCTAATGAAATTTGAAAAAAGAAAAAGTTTGAAATATTGTGTGCTGGAATAGTTCAACCAACCATATTTGGCCAACTTGTGTCGCTCATTTCCCGCTATAGAATAGATGGACCCCAACATAGAGTAAGTAGTACTCTGTTCTTATATACATTAGGCAATCCATACATTCTAGGATGTTGAGACCCTGTTGGTCTAACCCTGTTATAGATTTCCTTATAGATAATATTCTTGTATACTGAGAGCAACCATCTCTGTGTTCTCGCTTCGAACCTGATAGTATTATCACACGTACTAGCAGGACCGATCGTCTTAAACTTCGAAGACTCATTTAAAATATTGGTCATTTCATCCAAATAATCTTGTATGATTAAAATGACAACGCCAGAACTTTTATCATGCTTAGTGATATACACATTGTCCCTTGACTTTAATCTTTTTATAGTCTGAAAATGAACGCTTTGACAAGCAAGAAAATCTCGCTCAGCAGTAAGCGAAGAATATTCATTGGACAATTCAAGAAGTTTAGCCTTAGTAGCAGAACAGTTATCAGAAGAAGGAAAATGTTTAATTAATTAAGAATACAAAATTTCAAACTCGGTGAAAATATGTTCCTTACAAATTTTCGAAAGTGGAGTGCAAAAATCCGAACCCCGAGAAAGAACCAAATGTTAAGTCTCAGTCAGATTGATATTGGAATAATTATGGATAGGTATTTTAGAATTTCCATCGTCAACTCCAAAACTTCTAGAGACGAGGCTGTTTAAATATTTCTTATCATTTTCTCCAGCTGATTCTTCCAAATGTAATTTTTTACTAGCCAAGTAAGGAGAGAGACGAAAGTAAACAAAAAGACATTTTACCTCCAATTTCGTTTAAAACGAGTGTCAACATGAATAAGAAAAATCGAGCAGTTTATCCAACTCATGTCTAATATAAGGCTTAGTAATATGCACATGGTCTCTTGATTTTCACGCTTCTATAGTCCGAAAATGAACGCTTTGTCTGTATCCACGTTTAGAGTAGAAGGGAAATATATATATATATATATATATATATATATATATATATATATATATACTCACACACAAAAACACACACACATTTATATATATATATATATATATATATATAACTATTAAATAAACGACCTAATCCAACACCCCTAATTTTTACTACTTTAATAAGACCTCGAAAAAAACCCAGAAAAGAATAAATAAATATATAAAATAAAACATGAAAATAAAACACAAGTAAAATAAATTAACCCAAATAAATAAATAATCAAACAAACAAACCACTTCCGCCAAAATAACCGCTAGAATAGATTAACCACAATCCACCAGAGACCCATATATATAAACAGTCTAAAAACATCCAAGACTTGCGGCCTAGCATGAAACAATCTGTCGCCTCTGAGTGTTGACTTCCAGATTCACTTCTACCCCCACTCACTCTCTCTCTCTCTCTCTCTCTATATATATATATATATATATACCTAGTGCAACAGCAGAATTGTCCAATATCAGATCAAAATTTGAACCCTGCTATCTTAGAAATTATTAAAGATCTCGTACTGGAATACTACGAGATTTTTATAACACTATTGGACTCTAAAATACTCTACTCTAAAATAATAGTGTATTTAACTCTAAGTTGAAATGATGATCCCTCTTACCGTTGTAACATCCTGATCAAGTTTTCCTCACAACTCTTTCCTCATTTGTAAACTCATTCACCATTCTCTTGATGGATCTTGAATGAACTTTGAAGATGGAAGCCAGTGTATGAATGTTGGTATCATTACCGTAAGCCCGAATGATCATTTTCCTCTTACCATTGCTCAGTTGGGAAGATTTAGTAGGACTGACTCAAAACGATTTTAACCTGTTCTCTTTCAAGTTGATTAACTCAAATGGTATTTCAGTGATTGTTTCGGCAAATTGTGTGAAGAGGGCTACATGTCTTATCAGAATACCTAAAAAAAAAACTCAACTTCGTGGTTTTTAGATATTAAACATTGTGTGGGATGAACAATTATCCCATGCTTTTACACGATTTTTAGAATTTTGCTATTACGCCATTATATATATATATATATATATATATATATATATATATTCTCTTCAAGGCAAATAACTTCCACACTCCTAGAACACCTCGTGCCTTTCGTCTGACTTAAACATCGAAATGGATAAATTCTGTAATAGTTTTTGATCTTTTCTTTAGCATTCACAGTCAAATTTCTATTTCTGACACGAACTCAGTCCACACCGCTGTTGAAAAGACAGACGACATATATTTTAGTCTGCCGAAATAGGCTATTTCCCATATGAGTTGATTTTGGATTTTATAGTTCATTAATTATTTACTTTGCAATAATTAATACATTGAACTCTTTTGTGAATTACATATTTTATATTACTAGGATCCATTTGGATTATATATCAACGGATATATATATATATATATATATATATATATATATATATATATATATATGTGTGTGTGTGTGTGTGTGTGTGTGTGTGTGTGTGTGTGTGCGTGTGTAATATGTGTATCCCTGTGATTTGGCTTTTTAAAAAGTAAATATCTTTTAACTTTTTAACTACTTCAGTCCAAATTGCATTTGTAATTATGTAGTTGCCTTTGCAAGCGTTTCTCTAAACGATTTACCTTCGTAGAACTTCTCTGGGTAACAAGTAAAATGAGACAGATTAGTCTCCATGTCTGTCTACGGTCATATCCCCGATCCTCCCATTGTGCAACATAAAGATCTTCCCCCATGCCAACATCTAAAAGAGGCAATTAGCTCTGTCTATGATATGCGCGAGTTTAAACGCTGTTTGATAACATTTAGGAATAGACAGGTAAAGAAAAAATTACATTATTCAGATAGATAGATAGATAGATAGATAGATATCAGCTTTATTGAGATAGATAGATAGATAGATAGATAGATAGATAGATAGATAGATAGATAGATAGATAGATAGATATTAAGAACGAGGTGTATTGAGATAGATATATAGATAACTAGATTCATTGAAAGAGAGACAGGCATAAACTCGGTTCATTTAGATAGATAGATAGATAGATAGAAATCAGTTTTATTGAAATATATCAATAGAAAGCAGCTTTATTGAAATAGATAGATAGATAGATAGATAGATAGATAGATAGATAGAAATCAGTTTTATTGAAATATATCGATAGAAAGCAGCTTTATTGAAATAGATAGATATAAAGACATAGGTGTATTGAGATAGAAACATAGATAACTGGATTCATCGAAAGAGAGACTCAATTCATTTAGATAGATAGATAGATAGATAGATAGATAGATAGATAGATAGATAGAAATCAGTTTTATTGAAATATATAGATAGAAAGCAGCTTTATTGAGATAGATAGATAGATAGATAGATAGATAGATAGATAGATATAAAGACATAGGTGTATTGAGATAGAAACATAGATAACTGGATTCATTGAAAGAGAGACTCAATTCATTTAGATAGATAGATAGATAGATAGATAGATAGATAGAAATCAGTTTTATTGAAATATATCGATAGAAAGCAGCTTTATTGAAATAGATAGATAGATAGATAGATAGATAGATATAAAGACATAGGTGTATTGAGATAGAAACATAGATAACTGGATTCATTGAAAGAGAGACTCAATTCATTTAGATAGATAGATAGATAGATAGATAGATAGATAGATAGATTCATCGCTTGCTTTTATTTCTCCTTTATCCCGATGTAAAGTCTTCCTCTATTTAATCTTGCATTCATTTGCCTCACTGATAGAATCTATTAGAAATCTAAAAAAAAAACGTCACTGCATCGACGCTAGTGCAAACACAAGCTTCAGTAGGCCGATTTAGTTATCACACACCTGCATCATTCCTGTACGAACGCTACAGATATTTAAAGATCGGTATTTTCAACACACAATTACATTCCGTTGCTTCCATTCGTCCTACGTGACCTTTTCATTTTTACATGGCTGTCATCGTTTCAGCTTAAAAGCGATACAAATTTAAGCATAGAAACAAAGTTAATATGGACTCGTTACACTTGCAGTTAATTAATATTAATTTGTTTTCATAGACATTTGTGTCCGGCCTGTTTGTTAAGCAGTTGCTTGCAGTGAACGACAACAAATATTAAATATTTAATTATTAAACAGAAAAAAAAGTGTAAATTTTCGTAATCTTTTGCTAGCTATTCCAAGATAATCGTTAGTACAGGGTGCGAGAGAAATATCTCCCAAATAATGATAAGACATTAGCTAGAGGAAGACACCATTGCCACTAATCTCATACCATTATATAGAAGGTATTTCTGGTCCGTATATGTGGGAAGTATTTCTGGGGCAACCTGTATTTCGAAGGTGTTTCTTTAAGAACGTCTTGGTGAAGAAGCGAAAGATGAATCAATAATTCTAACAGCATTGAATTTGATGGTAACAGGATAAAATTCCAGCGGATAAAACCCAGCGGGCAAGTCCCATCCACATATCCCAAAAGTGGACGAAATCCCAGTCCCATAAATAAAAGTTCCATACATAAAAAGAAGCAAATTTAACATTGATAAGTCAAAGGACATTTAATACAAATTTTAATTTCAAATTTGGACAATAATATTATTTCATATATATGATTATGTACACATATCCAACATATACACACTCATGTCAAATTGAGATAATAATAATATCTAAGCCATAGCTGTATGTACATATATCCAATATATACACTCTAATATGAAATTGAGACAATAATATCTAAGTCATAGGTTTATGTACATATATCCAATATATACACATCAATGTCAAATTGAGACAATAAATCCATTAAATACACTTAATATCACGCACATAATTCATGAATGATCACTTGAACCGTATAGTAGATAAAGAATATATGTAGATTTTATCTTAATATAATATAATATAATAACAGATGAATGGCCTTTACACATAATCTCACTAATTAATCTCATACGAGTCTCAAAATTTGTCAACTTTTGGGATAAGAGGTAGGATATTGTCCAATGTGTTTTCGTCATGGGTTCGAATTTTAATTCTACGCTTTTACTGGTTAGTAAGGTTAGCCTGAATAGTCAATCACACACAAATACCTGACATTAAATAGCCCAGAAAAGATTGATATGCCACACACAAAAACTTGACATTAAATAGCCAAGAAAAGATTCATATGTCACACACAAAGATTTGACATTAAATAGCCCAGAAAAGATTCATATGTCACACACAAAAACTTGACATTAAATAGCCCAGAAAAGATTGATATGTCACACACAAAAAATCCTGCTGTTGACAGCGGAGCGGTGAATTAAGTGCACTGACAATAATAGAGATTATGAGTAAAACTGTTATTTTAGAAATAAGCGTAAGACAAAATTTTCCGACAGGAGAACAAAACGGTCTTGCTAAATAACGGTTATTTAGCTGACCTCTCCCACTAAGGTAGCATCTGACACAAGGTTTTTTTAGTGAGGTGGGGAGCGTATACAGATGAATATCCATACGGACCGAGGACAAATCAATGCACAGTCTCTACGCTCAGCCATGCTGGTATTGATATTATACCGATCCAAACAATTAGCTAGATATTTGATTCCCCATGACTGGCTGCCTTCTCTTTCTTAAAATAAGGAGAGGACAGATACTACACTTTGATTCCAATCTAAAGGCCAAGAAGCGATATACTACTAAATAGCGATTATTTGACTGACCACCCTACTAAAGCAATATCAGGCACAAAGTCATTTTTAAGGCGGGGGCCATTGACAAAAACTGAACAACCCTGCCATGCTGGCATCAGTATTATACGGACCCAACCACTCTTAGTACAATGAAGAATGTGATGCCGCTTATTCGGAATCTCCTGGATTGAACGCTCCCCCTATCTAAAATAAGGCGAGAACTGATACTACGCTTTGAGCTGAGCCAAAAGGTCGGAAAGCATTTATTTTTCAACCCGCTCACATCGCTAACGAATATGACACAATTAAAAGTTTAAAGTCACTATAAGGGCAATAACGTACAATATCTTGCAAAATTTTCCCAAACCCGTGGGTACATTTTGGGGAGACCTCTGGCAGCGAGCAATACGTCCAGCGCAACTCCACCAACGAGAGGTACTGCTTCGAGGGAAGGTTGAAATTGAAATTATTTGACACCCTCCACCGTGCCAAACTGCCGAATAACGTAGTTTCTATCAAAGCTTTATTTATAACTGTCACCTGCGTTAATGCAAAGCTCTTCAGTAAAATGAATTGGAGCACTCCGGCTGATTGACATTTGTTTACATTCGTAAAACCAATAAGCTAGATTTAGTTGTTTCTCTCTGTCGAATGAAGATAACTCAGTGGTAGAAACTCTGACTGGTCGGTTGGTTTCGATCCGGGCTTGAAGTATTCGGATGTATAGTCGCACTGAGGAGCTGTGATACAGCGAAACAGTATTGTCTGAATGAAATATATATATATATATATATATATATATATATATATATATATATATATCAAATAAATTTATAAAGATAAGCGGTAACATTTAATTAGCATAACAATTATTAAAATCATATTGTAATAAATATTTGAATTGAGTTATTTATTTCTCTTTTAAAATTTAATAATTACTACATCGATTTAATGATACCGTTAACAAAGTCATTTTTCTAATTCATCTTGTTTGTATAGAAGTACTATGAATTCATTCTATACAATTCTTTCTGGTTTGTCAAAATTCAGTCGTAATTTAGAAATTTTAAAACGTTTGTTGTATTGAACTCACACTCTTTGGGTCCTGTCACTGGATCTTACCAACGCCTTTATCCACTATGCCCTGTGTGCTTGAGGACATCCATGTATGAATTTCTGGGTATTATAAACCTAATGTCTTCAGCAACCATTTTTACCAGTGCCCATATTGCAATTTCTTGTTGTTATAATCATGTTTTTACCAGAGCACATATTGCAACTTTTGCTGTTATTATCGCTTTTCTCTGGCACACCTTATTACTGGTTCCCATATTGTGTTCATTTCTATGCTTGGTCGGCTCAAAAAGATTTACACACGGCATTTGGAACTAGAACAGTCTACCACAGTGAGCGAAATAAGGGGTTGAGTTTGATATTCAAACCATCTGAATAAGGCCGGAGCGTATAACGGCCCAAAAGTTGTAATAAATATGGCGACAAATATAAGGACAATAGTCCGAATAATGTAAAAAATGTACATAATACCTCATTTCATAAAACTTTTCTGTATTATTTAAACCAATGAAAAAAGTTATTGTGAAAATCACATAAACCTCAATAACTCGAATTTACTATTTTCTCAAATTTAAAACGACTAATTTAGACGTCAAAACAAATATTGAATTAACTTTTGAGGACGATTCGGCATGTTTAATTAAATTTATGGGATTTATTATAAAACTGCAGTTTGAAGTTATTATGATGATTAACCTAATTAAAGGCCACTGAAATCTAATAACTATTTTTTTCTTTCTTTTTCCTTAAATTATGTTGAAAGATCGGTAATGGAAATGATATAAAACATTCTGAAAAACAAAAATAACAAAGTTATTCACTGATGGAATGTCTACATTGGAGTTATTAAACGAGCTTCTCAGAGATCATCGAACGATAAAGACGGCTGTTAAAAATAGTTTTATTTAGAAGCATTGGAAAATGGTGTAAGAACTTGTCTCCACGAAAGGAACGTTCAATAAAGCGAGTTATAGCGAAACAACTATATTTGATCAGCGCTCAGATCATGGACTAGGCTGTAATTAAAGGGGTCAAGTTGGACAGAAGGTGCAGATTACTTTGCTAATTGGGAACCTATCTAGAGATGGAATCCACTCAATAAAGAAAATATTTTAAAGCGTCAAAATTGGTTGAAGGAATACATGAAAATTGGGTTTTGTAGTCTTCACGGACGGATCTCAGGTGACACACAATAGATGGTCAAAGGATGGATTTTATCCGATGTCTATGGCTAAAAGAATCCTGCAAATAGACGGTAATGTGATGATATAGGCTGGAATTATCGACCAAATTATTATTAAACAATTCTAAGTGGCTGAAATAATTGAACAGAAAAAATGACATTTGCGACAAGAATTTGCGATCTCACTAAAGTGAACTGTTTATTTAGACAGGAATCCCATTTCAAAAGTGTTATCCTCAAGCCGCCAGCCTTGCAGTTCAGATGATTAAAGCCTTGAACTGTTTTTTTATATTCTTTCAGGACAGTGCCCTTTTTCAGTGCCATTATTGTTTTGCTTACATTATTCGATAAACTGTCAAAGTAATCTTTATCCTCATCTTCATTGCACCATATTCCCAACGTTTCGGCCGTTTGCACGCTCCGGCCTTCTTCAGATGATAAATAATTTCATGGTACTTCTCTCCTTTTAATATGATTATTATTTTTTTCAATATTATTCTTTCCTCATCTTCATTGCCCATGTTCCTTCGTGTCCGTTGTACGCTCCGGCCTTCTTCAGGTGATTGGAATTTCGAACTCTTTATTTCGTCCACCGTGGTAGATAGTTCTAGTTCCACGTGCCTCTTCCGGATGTCTCAGTTATTTCCCTCTAACTCAACTCTCCATGTTTCGATT